ATATATATATATATATATATATATGTGTGTGTGTGTGTGTGTGTGTTCCCTCTTTTTAATTTTTTTTATAAAGAATTCATGAGAATTAATGTGACTGATTTTATACTAGATGGTCATGGCTAACCAACCCCACCTGTGTCATAGTGAATTCATTGATAGTATAAAATGGGAGAGCTATCCACATTTATAGTAAGCAACCATGTCTCCATCAAGATTGTCTCCGAAAAAAAAGATACGAAATCAAAAATAAAATAAAATATCGGTATCTGTTAGAAACCAAAAATGGCAATGTTCAATTTCTGAAATAAAAGTTGCTAGTGAGTTGTGAGAATTTGAAGTGAACTTGCAATATACGACTTCATGGTTGAAGTCACAATTATAATGAAAAGATAGTGCTTTTATATTCAGCAAAGCATTGAAAAAAAATTATAGTTATCTATTTTCTTCCTTTGTGCTAAACCAACGGAGGTGCACTTATTACTCTTGCGTCTTGAGTAATTTTTTCTAAAAATAATGATTAGCATCTATTGTGCGTAGTTGGAAAATTGTAGTGTATGATTAGCATCTATTTTGCCAACTAATATCGGTAAACAATCCATATTAGTCCAAGTTATATAATATACTCATAATATAAATGATATGCTGTAACCACTATAATTGACTTAGTAATAAAATGTCAAAATAGTATACTCATAATCCTAGTTGAAAATTTGTTGTTGACATTATAATTTATACAAATAAAAAAAAAGACATGTTATAATAATTATAATCCTTTGTGTTTTGAATACAAGACTATATTTCAAATTAAATGAAGGCTTGAACAGATTTATAATGGAGTAATCTAATCATTTTTTTGTCCATTATAATTATATGATGTTTTAAAATTGATATTTTTTTTTATCAAACATTATTTTAATACTGATAAAAGTTGATCATACAACTGACTTAGAACATATCTTGCAATCACAAGTTCAAGAGACTAGGTTACAACTGAGACTAAAGACCCAAACAAGTACAAACTAGTGAATCTACAAAGAAACTGAAAATTTCATTCATTCAGAACACTATTAATTGTGAATATATTTTCATTCGTATTTGATTAAAACAGAGAACCTTCTCAAATTTTGTTAATGAAGCTAGACGATGGTGGACCTTCCAAACGAACATAGTCATACATAATGGCCTGAAATGGACCATTGCCTCTACTCTGTGTCAAAAAGATGGTGTTATCTCCTTCAACAAGTAGTGTGCCTGCTATGTCCACATTGTAAAGCCAATAAAGTCCATGAATTCCGTGCCTAGCAATCGAGTTATCCCTTCCTATCAACCCACTTGAAAATAGAGGACGGGTTGCCTTTGGATTATTAACTCGAACCTAAAATTGTAAATATATATTGGTATTTATAAAACATAGGTTAAGATGATAAATCTTAATTAGACTAATGAAATTAAGAAATGCTACCTGAAGTTCAGAAAATGTAGCTGATGCCAAAGCCACTCGCAGTTTATAGGTGCTGCTTTTGTTCACATTAGCAAGCTGAAACTTGATTTGCCACGTGGTTCCTTGATATGTATTATCATCTTTTTTCCTGAAAATGCGGAGCCAAAGGTAAAATTCAACAATGCTTTGTTACACATTAATAATAATTTCGTAAAGAAAAACCCATTCTGAAACTACAGTCCTTACCTGGTAACTTGAGCAAAGAACCAATCTTTGGTGTAGTCACTAACACCAACTGTGTAGATCAAGTCTTTGTCAGGGTATAGTTCTGCATATCTCTCCCATAATCCATATTGCCTAAACCTGCCAATTGCAATCCACTATGACAATTATATATAATTTTTTTTTGGTCAATTTGCAAGTTTTTATATGGGAATTCAAATTAATATGGTCCAATAGAATCAATTTTGGCTTTCGATAATAAATTTAATTAGTAAAGTGACTAACTTGTCAGGATGATTAACATAGAGTTTGTTGACATATTTGGGATTTGGGTCAGGAACATAGAACTCAGCAGCTGAGCGATCAGGGATGCCAATTTCCCACAATGTTGGACCATCTCTTGGAGGTTCATACACAAGATCACCAAGGTCGATCTCACAACCTGTTTTCACGTTAAACAAATACAAAAATTTCAGTGGTTTTAAAAGAAAAATACTAAAATTGGTTGTGAATTGTGATTTTCAACACCTTCTGTTATGTTCATAACAACGTCATATTTATAGTCACCAATAAAACCAGGCACCCACGCGTAAACATTGTAGTCGCCAGCACGTATATTGCTGATGGAGAAGTAGCCATCATCATCTGCTTTAGCCCAAAACTGATAGTTCTGATAACAATTAAAATTTAATATATATATCCGTAAGCTAATGGCATTTCTTTAGGCGTAAAATGTTCATAAAATGGTACATTATACTGAAAATGAAAATGAGCATACTAAGAAGAATATATTCACTCACCTTGCATTCTCTTTGCCAAGATCCCACGCCTCCTGGTGGAGCCAAACCAACATAGGCACCTTTTGCCGATATATAGTCATCGTTTATATACCTATATATACCAAAATGGAATTAATTAAATTAAAACAAACTGCATCTTATTCCATTGCACTTGCACTAATATTGTCACAATTAGCTCGGTCAATTTTACTATCAGGTTTAGGTAATTCTCTTAATTAATTTTCAAAATTTAGATCATAAAAAAATCGCCAGAAACTTAAAAGATAAATTTAGCAAGAACAGACCTCTCTCTAACCAAAAGCCTGCCACTAACATTACCACGTTGGTCCCACTTAGGGAAATCCTCTGATTCAGGAAAACTGTAAGGCCAGCTTTGAACTTGGACCAACATCTGTAAGTGAAATGTATATGGTAGAAAATCATGGTGCATGAAATGAAATATATACTTAGATAGATAAAGTAATATTAAACCTGTAGTTTAGCGTCTTCCCATAGCTGAATGGGGTCACCTCCATCATATGGAGAATTCAAATAAATGAAAACTGGACCGAAAACTTTCTTCCATGCCTCACCAGCATTGAACTTAGGCACCAGATCCTCTCCGCTATAATGAGCACTCAGAAACACCTGATTACGTTGTTTAATTTGGAGCAAAGATACATTCTAAAAGTCAGACTCCAAAATCATGACAATTTTATATAGAATATTTTTTTTGTGAGTAGGACAGCACTTACAGCAAGAGTGGTTGGCCCCACATGAGAAGTTAAGTTTTGTTTGAGGGGTCCACCAGATCGAAATTCATTGCTGGGAGTAATTAGCCAGAATCCCACAGCAGGATCCATGCAGATCCATCCATGAACTTGACTATCTTTGTTGTCACACGAATATTGGTACTTGTCATCCACCTACACGTAAGCCAAACCATGATACCCAAAATTATTATTTCATACATCACTAAGAAGAATAATATTACCTCTTTCAGTATAGCTTTTGTTATAAAACTTTTAAATGCATAAACTAGCATTTTTTTTTCTCGTTTCAACTGTTTTATTTAGAAAAAAAAAAGTTACTTGCAAGATAAATTATATATTTGAGATAACAGCCGAAATTTGGGGGAAAAAATTCCAGAAAATAAGTTATTTTTATGTATTTGAATATTTGAACCCTATGATTATTTTTCAACAATTTTCTCATATTGCTCATTTATTATATAAAAATTGATTTGTTGTATTCAAATGAAATTA